CTGAGCCCTAGTCCCTACACCCTAACCTCTTTTGGGTGGGTTTAGGGTTTAGGGTTTAGGGTTTAGGGTTTAGGGTTTAGGGTTTAGGGTTTAGGGTTTAGGGTTTAGGGTTTAGGGTTTAGGGTTTGGGGTTTGGGGTTTGGGGTTTGGGGTTTGGGGTTCAGGGTTCAGGGTTCAGGGTTCAGGGAGTCTGTGCAGTCTGGCTCGGACCAAGGCACTCGCACCCTTGACCGAATGGGTCCTTTCAGAACAAGTCCAACTATAAGAAGGACCCTAAACCCTAAACCCTTAATCCTAACTTCTCTTCGCCCTAATCCCTAAGCCCTAGAACGAGACCTAATTACCAATGTTTCGCAGGCCTCGGACGCTGCTTTCGGCGGCATCAGCAAGGTGGAAGGGCGGAATCAGCGTGTCAAGATTCCGCGTTTGGGGGTTTAGGCTTTGGTGCGTCGGGGGTGAGGGCTCGGGAAGTGTGCGTCGAGTCTGAAGTGAGTATCTGAAGTGAATTTGGCCTAGGGTTTAGGGTTTCGGGCTTAGGGTTTTCAACTTAAGCCCCTTCGGGGCGCATTTGCCGGAGCCAGCGTGAAAGGTTCTGGGTGGGTTGGGGGCTTCGGGTCTTTGTCTTGGGTTCAGGGCTGATCATGCTCTATGCGCCAACTCTGGCAACGAGAGTCGAGCCTGTCGTATCTACGTTTCCCAGTAACCTCCCAATCCGAAGACTACCGTGTCTTACTCCTAGTGGGGCGCAATCATATCTCTAAACCCTAAACCCTAAACCCTTAAAAAATGACATCAATGCATATACCATTTGTCCTGATCATCCTGAGCAGCTGTGGATGCGGCGCAGAAAGGGGACGGTTTACGGTCAGGGTTTAGGGTAAAGGGTTTAGGCTTAGGGTTTAGGGTTTAGGGCTTAGGGTTTAGGGCTTAGCGTTTAGGGTTTGGGCTTTAGGCTTTAGGGTTTAGGGTTTAGGGCTTAGGGTTAGGGCTTAGGGTTTAGGGTTTAGGGTTGAGGGCTGAGGGTTTAGGGTTTAGGGTTTAGGGTTTTCGGGTTTAGGGTTTAGGGTTTAGGGTTGAGGGTAGAGGGTAGAGGGTGTAGCGCTCAGGGCTCAGGGTTTAGGACTTTGGAGGAGCGTTTAAGGTGGGGAGCGGCATGAGAACGGCCCAAGAACTGAAGCAACTTACCAACAGGCGTGGTGTCCTCCTGAGCCCCACACCTTAAACCCTAAACCCTAAACCCTAAAGCCTAAACCCTAAACCCTAAACCCTAAACCCTAAACCCTAAACCCCGCAAGGCGCAGCTCCAAATGCTGTGCACCTCTTTCGGAGAGTGTATTCGTTTAAGGTTTCGGGCAAAGGTTTACGGTAAGCATCTTATGAACACTTCGAGGTTCAAGTTGGCCCCTTATATGCTTGTTTACCAGAGGACTACTAGTACCCACCTGAACCTGCCCCTCCATCCGTAGGGTTTGGGCTTCAGGGACTCTTGGGTCTTGATATTGTTAAGATCATGCAGTTACTGGGATACATTGAAAAGATTTAACAACAAAAACAACAACACAACACAACACCAACAGACATGAACCCTAAACCCCTAAACCCTAACCCTTAGACCCCAAACCCCTAAACCCCTGAACCCTAAACCCCTAAACCCTAAACACGTAAATCAGGCCAGGAGCGACACACAAAGAAAGCGACAGCCCCTTAGTCCGTTCTTGGTTGCATGTGATTTGTTCTGTACTCACAAGGAAAACCACCCAAACAAAACAACACATAAAACAAACATAGCACAGCAATAACACCGGAAATGAACACCAACGCAAATCAATCAAACACAACCAATCGGAAAAAAAAAAAAAAGCAGGCAATTACAAGCAAGCTACCTGCCTCAGCCGCTTGTTATTCTGTGTTTGTTCGGGTGGTCTGCTGTTCTTCTTGTTTTTCCAGAGCTTTCAGTGTGTGCGGGCTCTTAAGGGTATTGGGACCAAACCTAAACACAAACTACACACCCGAACCCCCGAAACAACAAGCCCTTCACCCTATACACGCGAAGACCTAAAAATTTGTCCCCAGAATCACCAAATTCCGGTAACCCCAAACCCTACATAACACCTAAAATCCCAAGCCTCGACTGTAACCCTTGAGCCGTCTAGCAACTCTAGTGTCCTTCTGAACTAGCGCCCTTCAAAAGACCTGCCGGAAATCCGCCAGATCTGGCAAAAGAACCGAATCTCTAAACCCCAAATCCCCGTAGTGCCCTGAAGGAGCCCTTTAATGAACTCGTAAATACTGAAGGAAGCCTTTGTTCCTGCAAAGGAGCCCCTACACCCAAAACCCCAAAACTCAAAACCCAAAAAACCTAAAACCTGAAACACCAAACCTTGAAACCCAGACCTTGCAAACCTGGAATTCGGAAGTGTCCATGTACTCAACTAGTATATACTTCTTCGGCCTTAGAGCAGTCCAGTGGGGCCAATGTCTATACTATTTGGGTACATGGACCCTTCTAGCGGAAACCTTAGACCCGTTAAAGGAGCACCTGAGAACCCTGTAAGGAACCCTGTTTGGGTACATAGGCCCTTACGGAAGTCCCTGGTGTTTCTACACCCTAAACCCTAGAAACATAAACCCTAACCTTACAAACCTTCAATTCTTGTTCTAAACCCTAGCCCTAAACCCTAAACCCTAAACCCTAAACCCTGAACCCTGAACCCTAAACCCTAAACCCTAAACCCGAAACCCTGTTCCGGCTGTGTTTCTGAAAAGGCGCCGAAGGAATCTCCACGGGGCCCCAAGATCTCCCCCGCCGCACTCCGAGGGGAAGATCGCGCTCCTACACCCCAAGCAAACAGGGGTTGAGGGTTTAGGGTTGAGGGTTTAGGGTTGAGGGTTTAGGGTTTAGGGTTTAGGGTTGAGGGTTGAGGGTTTAGGGTTAGGGGGTTTAGGGGTTTAGGGGTTTAGGGGTTTAGGGGTTTAGGGGTTTAGGGGTTTAGGGGTTTAGGGGTTTAGGGGTTTAGGGGGGTTTAGGGGTTTAGGGGTTTAGGGGTTTAGGGGTTTAGGGGTTTAGGGGTTTAGGGGTTTAGGGGTTTAGGGGTTTAGGGGTTTAGCGGTTTAGCGGTTTAGCGGAGTTTCGGGGGCTTGAAGGGTTTAGGGTTCAGGGTTTAGGGGTTTAGGGGTTACCTACCCACCATAAAGCAGTGTTTGAGGGCTCTCCTGTAGGGGCCTTAATAATTAGATTACGGTTGGGGCCCACTATACTATATTTATATAAAAATACGATCCGCTCCTACCTCCACCCAAAAAACAGGTGGAGGGGCTTTAAGGTGTAAGGTGCAGGGGTTTAGGGTTTGGGGTTTAGGGGTTTAAGGTTTCAGGAAGGGGTTTAGGGGTGTAGGAGTAGGGTTTAGGTTTAGGGTTTAGGGGTTTAAGGGTTTGGGGGTTTAGGTCTAGGGTTTAGGTTCAGCAGGCTTAGGCTTTTCACCAAGGGTCCATGTGCCCAAATAGTTATACTTTGATCTTAAAGTACCCCTTTCTAGGTACATTGGGCCCACAGTACATACTGTTTGGGTACATGGACACTTAGGGTTTAGGGGCTAGGGGTGTAGGAGTAGGGTTTAGGGTTTAGGGTTCAGGTTTCTTTACGGCTTTTAGGGTTCAGGGTTCAGGGTTTGGGGTTCAATGTGTCCCTAGACCACCCAACTATCCTCTAATATACCCAAAATACCCGCTATTAAGGACCACAAGGGCTCTATTATACAAAAGACTCTTGGGGGGTCCTGGTCGGCAGTCAAACTTTGCACCTGCTTTTTGGTTCTGCTGCGAGCTCCGACTCTGGTGGCGCTCATGGTTCCCCCCTCCGAGGAAGCAGTCCAAGAAAGTGGGATAAACCCTAAACCCTAAACCCTAAACCCTAAACCCGAAACCCTAAACCCTAAACCCTAATAATAACAATCGTACTAAACTCATGATGAGATAAAGAAGCCATGATAAGGCACCCTTGGGTGCTGCTCCCACACGACACGGAAAACTCCGATTCTGAAGACAGCTTAGATTCACCGGCAAGGAAACATCGAAGATGTGTCGTAGAGGCACTTCGGCCCCCCCTCTCTCGGAGGCCATTCCACTGCGGAAGCAATCCAAGAATGTGGGATAAACCCTAAACCTTAAACCCTAAACCCTAAACCCTAAACCCTAAACCCTAAACCCTAGTAACCCTAAACCCTAAACCCTAAACCCTAATAGTACTAAACTCATGATGAGATAAAGAAGCCACTATAAGGAACCCTCAGGTGCTGCTCCCACACGGCGTGGGAAACTCCGATCCTGGAAACATCTTTCGTAGAGGCCCATCGTTGACCCCTCCCTCGGAGGCCTTGTCCACTGACAATCCAGGAAAGTGGGATAACAATGACAATAACAATAATAATCGTAATGTACTACTGATGAGACAAAGATGCCATTATAAGGCAACCTTGCGTACTGCTCCCACACGGCAAGGGAAACTCCGACTCTGAAAACATCCTGATATTCACTGGCAAGGGAACGGCCCTGCAAAATGCGGAGAATCCCAACATAGAGTTTGCTATACTGAACTTGGAACCCTAGCAAAAATTACAATGTTTGCTGTTTCTTAGGAATTATAGTACCCAAAAATTAAAAACTATTTCCAAGTACCCCTAAGTTTGGGGTGTGAGGATGCTCCCCGACGGATCCAAAGCCTTAACCCTAAGACATTGCGCTGCCTCCAAACAGGCCGCCCCTCGCCCTCGTTGCACCTGAGTTCCGCATTGCCACTCAGCCGTCGACCCTGTAAGGCTTCAGGGTGTAGGTTTAGGATTTCAAGGCTTGTAAGAGTTTGAGTTTTGAGATTCGGGTCTAGGCTAGGGTTTCCCCAAGCCTGGCTGGCACTCTTGAAACCCAAGACACGAATTAAATGAGTGTTTCACATGCTCATATACGTCCTATGAGGACGGGCGCAAGGCATGGCACCAGATTCGTGCTCAGAAGATTGAAGCGAGGCTGGCTGCCAAGAGGGCCACGCTCACCACCCGCGACGTCGCGACATTGGCAGCATCCAGTCTGGTGGTTGTGGACGCGGTTGTGGACGTCGTGGTGGTGGACGTGGTGGTGGTGGTGGTGGCAACAGTCGCAGTCTTGCCGGTGACCTCGACTGTGCCCGCATAGCCTGCGTCCGCTAAGAAGCTTGTGATGTCGGCGGTGGCCTCGGTCAGTGAGAGCTGATCGAAACTTGCTTTCGCTGACTCGGCTGCTTGCTTGCTGGGGAGGGTCACCTTGAAGATAGCCAGAAGCGTGCTGGCCTGAAGACTCCTTGCAAGACGCCGAGATGGCACCTCCTGAAATTCCAGGGTCACCAGCGACGGATCCACTCCCAAGGAGGAAGCAACCCCCTGAACCATGGCATTCTTCACGGTCTCGTTCTCGGTAATCGTGGTGGGGTCGTCCACAGTGAGCTGAAAAGAAACTTCAAGGACGCTGGGGACCGGTGCCATTGTGGTCGTCGTATTGCCGGTCGCGTCGCTGGCGGCTGTGGCCGTGGCCGTGGAGGTGTCGGTGGCCGTGACGGTGGAGACGGTGGTGGTCGTCACGGTGGTAGCGGTAACGGTGGTGACGGTGCTGGTACCGGTGGTGGTGGTGGTTGAATAGGTGGGTGTAAAAGTAACCACATATGGATTTTGACCCCAACCGGCAAACGCCGCCATCGTTCCATCCCCGCTCATGGCTGCAGAGTCACAGTCAAGAACATCCGTGACAACATCCAGCCAGTAGTCTGTCCCCCACGTCATCCCACCATCGCCACTGAGAAGCGCGACGACGCCCGTACCCGAAAGGGGCCGGCAACAGAGGAAGATCTTGGAGCCGTCCTCGGACATGGCTGCCGAGGCGCAACTGTACTGCCCAGGGACCTGTTTCCAGGTGGCGCCCCTGTCGGCGCTCAGGTAGTTACCCTGATCTGCCACGATGGCCTGGATCGTGGCATCGGCCGACATGGCAAAGTCGTACAACCCCTGGGCAGGAGGGTTTAGGGTTTAGGGTTTAGGGTTTAGGGTTTAGGGTTTAGGGTTTAGGGTTTAGGGTTTAGGGTTTAGGGTTTCAGCCTGGGCATCTGGAGCTTCCGAGCTGTTGGACTGAGTGAAGGTCTGGCCACCATCCGTACTGATGTAGAGTCCATTATTCCCAACACCCCACTCTGCAAGCGCCACAGTGTAGGAGAGGTCTGGAGACGCGACCACGGTGTTCATAAGCAACGGCAAGTGGGAAAAGTTGGTCTGCAGGTACGGGCCCATGGCACCAGCAATACTGCTTGCAATGATGCTGTCAGACGTGACAGCAATGACAGTGTCATGGTCCGTCACATCGATGTCTGACCACTGGAGGGCAAACGCAGGGTCGGCCTGATCCCAATTGGCGCCGAAGTCTCCGCTACCCCACAAGTTCCTTAGCTTTGGAGTAGACCCTGAAAAAAAGTATATACTTTCTTGGTATAAGTAGCTATAATAGGAGCCCACAACCCAAAAAGAAGTATGAAAGTATAAGTACTCCAAAGCCCAGGTTCCCACCTTTCTCCGCGAGGGCGATCTTCGTGCCGTCGGGAGAGAGGGCAACACCCGTCCAGGACCCCGTAACACGAGGCACCGAGGTCAGATCCCAAGTGGCTCCGGAGTCCGAGCTGGTGTAGGTCGAGCCGCCGTAGACTCCGTAGACGAGCTTGCTGCCATCCTAGGATGCTCAGTAATTTAGGATTCAAAAGGGTACCCTTCTTTGCTTAAAGGGGTTTATAAGGGAACCTAACCCCCCCAAAAGAAAGGGAATAAGGGCACTGCTGGGCATCCTAGCATCTTTTGACATGGCCACTCGGCATCCTTCGCCATGCCTGTCGCCCTGACCGAGCTGTGTGACTTGAAAGGCACTCTGGGCAAGGCCGAGGACGGACAGCAGCAGGAGCGGCGACATCTCCTCAACCTCTTAAGTCGAGTTTCTGGACAGGCTGATTTTCCCTTTGGGCCAAAACCTGTGGGCGCACAGCTTCTATCCTGGATCCGGACTCCCAAGCCAACTCTTTCCTGTGCACGACAGCCTCTCCTGAAACCGTCTTACCCGAAGCTTAGAAGCGCAGGCAAGCTCTAAGCCTGCCAACAAAGCCAGATACCGTGTCGTCATCTGGGGTTTGGGGTTGATGCTCCACACGGCTCAGCTTCCCCTAAACCGCCAAACCTTCCGGGGAAAGCCGGGGAAAGCAACCGCGATGGCCTCAAACTCACCCTCGCAGACGATGTGAAACCTGGGTGTTGGTGGTCCACAAATGCCCACAGTGCATGAGGTAGGGGCTCGGAGTACAGCTGGAAAAGCCCAAACACCCTAAACCCTAAACCCTAAACCCTAAACCCTAAACCCTAAACCCTTAAGTCACAAGGGCTCCCAGGCCTTTCTCAAGCATGGCACATTAGCTGAGGTTGACGTTTTCTTGACCTGATCACCATGGGAACCAAGCAGAATCGTCGAATCGTATAGAGTGTCAGTGGTGCATCCTAAACTTCGGAAAGCTTGCGCATGCATACATGTTGCATATGGATGGACATCTCTCTGCCAACCATCCAATCAATCAACCACTCATTCATTCGTTCAGTCAGTCAGTTCGTCAATCAATCGATCAATCGGCCAATCAACCATTCATTCATTGTTAATCCATGCATTCATTGGTCTGTTTCATTCACACAATCGCTAAATCCATCAATCAATCAACCAATCAATCAATCAGTCAATCAATCAATCAATCAATCAATCAATCAACCAACCAATCAATCAATCAATCAATCAATCAACTGGCCACCCAAGCAACAAATCAACAATTCACCGTTCAACCAAATCAATCAAATCAAAATCAATCAACACGAACTGTTCGATCGATCGAACATTCTATCTATCTATATCTAAGGCGTCTACGTATCTGTTGATCTATCTGTTTTGGTCTGTCCTGTTGGCCTGTCTATCTTTCGATCTATCTATCCATCCTTCCGTCTGCCTGTCGTTCTAGCTAACTACCTAACTATCTCTCTATCTGTATGTCTATCTGTCCGTTCTATCTATCTACCTATCGGCCCATGCGTCTTTCTGTCTTGCGTTAGTTCGTTCTGTCTTTCCGTATGTCTGCCCACCTATCGGTCTATCGATTTATCTATCTATCTAATTCTGCATCTTCTGACCTACCTATCTGTCTAACTATCTATCTACCTATCTGTCATTCGATCTATCTCTCTATTTGTCTCTCCATCTATCTATCTATCTACTTGGAGGGTCGGAGGACTTAGTAAGTGGTTATCTAATAGAGTTACAATTAGGATAACTCCCATTAGGGTCCCTTTTAGGGTACTTATAAGTCTACTTACTATCTAGTTACTAAGTCCCCCGACCCTCCAAGTATCTAGCTATCTATGCAGGGTTTAGCTATCTATCCATCTGTCCATCCATCTCACCCCATCCATCCATCAACCCCATCTATCGATGTATTTACCTAGCAATCGGTCTACCTGCATATCTCTGTATGGGGCGTGAAGTTCAGGTGCTTACAGCTGCGAAAGAGTCCTGCTTGCAGTGACCTGCAACGTAAGATTAACAGTGCTTGCGGGCATACCTTCAGCTTTCGTCTTACGGCAAGGTTCACTGGGCATCTAAGCACATGCATACATACATATTGAGTACATGTGCATGATGGTGCAATGAAACGGACTGATGAAGATTCGAGCCCAACCCCCAAAGCCAAGTGCAAACGAGTAACCAAGTCTGCCGAGTTTCCAGATCCAACCAGAAGGCGTACGAGATTCTGGGTTTTTTGGGGGGGATTCGGGTCTTGGCCTCGGGTTCAGGGCTGAACACGCTCTGTGCGCCCAACTCTGGCAAACAGAGTCGAAGAATGGAGTGTTTAGGTTTCCCAGACACCTCCGAATCAAAAGATGGCCGTGTGTTGATCCTAGTGGGGTGCGATTGTAGCTCCTAAACCCTAAACCCTAAACCCTAAACCCTAAACCCTAAACCCTAAACCCTAAACCCTAAACCCTAAACCCTAAACCCTAAACCCTAAACCCTAAACCCTAAACCCTAAACCCTAACCCTAAACCAATAATAAAGAAAATGTAATCCGTGCATATGCCACTTGTCCTGATCATCCTGAGCAGCTGCGGGTGCGGAGCAGCGAGGGGGCTTAGGGTTTAACGGGTCACGGGTTTAGGGTTTAGGGCTTGGGGTTTAGGGTTTAGGGTTTAGGGTTTAGGGTTTAGGGTTTAGGGTTTAGGGTTTAGGTTTAGGGTTTAGGGTTTAGGGCTTAGTGTCTTTCGTGGGCTTAGCGGCACAATCGATTCTCGAAAAAATGGCCCTTCTCGGGCACGCTGGGGTCCTTGCAGATCCCGAACGCCTTGGATTCCATGCCACTAGAAACCCTCAACCCTCAACCCTAAAAACCCTAAAAACCCGAAACCCGAAACCCGAAACCCTAAACCCTAAACCCTAAACCCTAAACCCGAAACCCCTACCTGCCCGCTTTGGGGGGTTGATCCGATTTGCTGGCCCTTTCTGGGGCCGATGTCTATCACTCAGGGAAGATCAATCCCACTCAGCTTAGGGAATTGGAGCTACAACCCTAAACCCTAAACCCTAAACCCCAAACCCTAAACCCTAAACCCTAAACCCTAAAGCCTAAACCCTAAACCAAAGCCCCCTCTAAGGGCAGCTGCATGGTTTCGTTGCAGGGGGCCTTGGGTGTAAAAGGGTACAGAAGGGCCACTTCTTAAGGGCCCGTACTAAGGGACCATGTAACTAAACCCTAAACCCTAAACCCTAAACCCTGCGACCCCTCCAAATCTCCCAGCCCTGTGCAGCGGCTGGGGTGGACCTTCGCACGTTCGATCATCTGCCTGCAGCCAAGGTTCAATCCTACACTCCAAGCCCTAAACCCTAAACCCTAAACCCTGAACCCTAAACCTTAAATCCTGAGAGTCATAGCTCAAAATCCTGAACCCTAAGCCCTGCCCTCGGTTAGCTCCGGGCTACTGCAGGCAGCTTGTAGGGTCTCCGGTGCTGCCTGCTGGCTGAGATTCAAGGGGTTTGGTGTAGGGTTTGAAGGAGTGCTCATAGCCCGAGAACACGCCTGCAACCTAAAGCCCTCAACTCGAAGCCCAAGACAACGCCAAAAAACGCATCGAGCAGCCTGGTTGAGGCACTCGGGATGTGGGTTTAGGGTTTAGGCTTCGGGTTTGGGGTTTACGGCTCAGGGTTTTGGATTTGGAGCTCAGAGCTTAAGGTTCAGGTCGCTTAGGGGCTTGAGGGGTTTGGGGGGGGGGGGGGCCTTCGCAGCCCTCATCCCCACATCCCAGAGCCCCGAACCCCACATGCTAAAACCACAAACTCTATATCCCTAAAACTCTTAGACGCCCTCAAGCCCTAAGCCCCTGAAGCCCATAAAGCCTAAACCCTAAACCCTAAACCCCAAGCCCCAAGCCCTAAACCCCATACCCTAAACCCAAAGCACCTGACGCTTCATCCGCGAAGCGACCTTCACACAGCACTATAGGGGCCTGAACAATTGTAATAGGGTTTCGGGGGATATCATAGGGAATACTACTCCCTAAACCCTAAACCCTAAACCCTAAACCCCAAACCCTAAACCCTAAACCTATATATATGTATATAGTAACTTCACCGCTGCCTTCCGTAGGCGGTCACTGAGGCTGCGATTGCTTGACATGGCAGGGCTCCCACAGACATTCCTGCCAGGTTTAGGGTTTAGGGTTTAGGGTTTAGGGTTTAGGGTTTAGGGTTTAGGGTTTAAGGTTTAGGGTTTAGGGTTTAGGGTTTAGGGTTTAGGGTTTAGGGTTTCGGGTTCAGGGTTCAGGGTGTAGGGTATAGGGTTTATATTTCCGAGCTTAAGGTTCAGGGCTTAGCCATGCGACCCTTATTCGAAGAATGAGCGAAACTGCGGTGTACCGAGCGACAAGCC